AACTGAAATTTGAAACAGAAGTTTTGAAAATAAAAAAGTAGTAATGATAACCACTGAGTAACAGTGGTGTCACTATAAACGATTATTTATTTATAATGATAAGAAACAAGCTTACTGTTGCTTTTGTGACAGTGAGGATGGTTAAGAATATTACTACCGGATATTGCTCCACAGACAGTTTCATTTATCCATAAGCTCAAACTGCAACTTTGTATATACAATTGTATGTAGACACAATTCTAATCAGCTACCCCCATAAAGACCCATAAATCAAACTCCTTTTTCTACCATACACTACCTTTTAACTTATGGGAATACACGTATTTTTAAATGACGAAATATACCAACCACCATCTCGAAAATCACTAATATAAGAATGTACACTACAAACATGCAAAATAAAATATAAGGAAGGACAGAGGTCACAAATCACATTTTGCAACTCCTGATGAAATTATTGACTTGAGCAATGACTGTATCAATTGGCGTTTAAAACATTAGTTGGATGGTTGAAAAGGAAATGGGTATTCATAGGTGCCATTGCTGTACCTCAGATTACTTTCTGGTCTACAGAAAAAAACAAAACTGTGCAATGCAGGAATCAGCACATCAATCATCCTAATCTAGCAGTCAACCTGAGCATCGCTGCAGCGGAACCACCAGAAACTGTACATATCCTGATGGCATGCAACGTGAAGTACAAAGCTTCATCTATAATGTATCAAAATACAAAAGGTTTAACTGGAATCTAACTTTAGATCTAACTTGGAGTTTAGAGGAAATAAAGAGATAAAGGAACAAATTAAACAAATTTAAACGAATTAAACAAAACCCATGAGAATGCAATTTAAAAAATCCATGAGATGAAACTGTTAACAGAACAACCATCCTGTTTTGTCAAATCTGTATCATATAAAAATAGACTTCTCTAAATAAAAAGAGAATTAAGGGACATAAAAATTAAATGTAATATGTGGTCCTGAACTGGAACCTGGTTTGAATAAATAGTTATAATGGGTATTTTAGGTTAGTCAGGGAAATCTGAGGATGAAAACTGCTATGATGTCTGTAACCTACTTTAGAATATTTTAGCATTAATGAGTTAAAAAAAAATACAAAGATATATAAAGAGGATAGAAAATAAAATGTTGCCCAGTTCTAATTTAAAACCCTTCCAAAATGTCCTTAACTAGGGTTAACATTCTATACTCGAAGTTTTTGTTTTTCTTTTGTCAACTAAGACTTTAAATAGAATATGTCTATTTTCAAAAAGATGTACTTACTTACCCCTGGCATATACTCCATAAATATGGAAAGTGTTTTTTCCTGGGGATCCCTCAAACAGCCATAATACTGAACAATTCGCTCATGCAGCAAGTTTTTCAACAACTGAATTTCACACTCAAGTGCATTGACTTCCTGAAAGACAGAACTCACTGTTAAGTCTTTTCAACACTGTTAGTAAAACCAAAAAATTCTAACTTCACAGACTATCAAGGTGATTTCATTCTGAAATTTTTACTTCCCAAGGAACAAACATTTTAAAGACTCTAACCAACAGATTTTTAAACATTCCTTGATGGCATGCTAAAGCAACACTAAATCAGATTAGGAATATAACTACAGTACTAAAAATAAAAATCCAAAGTACAAAGTAGATAAACATATTTAATCATCTGTTTGTTTTGCAAATAATTTGTACTAAGAAAAAAACAAAAATTCTATTGAATGTTATTTATTTATTTTTTCAGTAAAAATGCTTCTTTTATGTGACAAAGTAGTTTGTGCAGTGATTTTTACCTTGCTGGTCTCAGGGCTATCTGGGTCAAATTGAACTTGCTTAACAGCCAATTCTCTTCCTGTATCAACATCATAACAGAGATAGACTCTACCAAAGGCTCCTTGGCCAAGCAGTTTGCCCAATCTCCAGTTGGTTGGAGCTCGAGGTGCTGAAAAAGAACACTTTCTTAAAATGGAATAGTCATATGGTACACAAATGGTTAAGGACAAAAATGAAAGTACTGTATTAGTGATATTCTTAATTGAATATCACTGGATATAAGGGAAAATCATAACTATCCAAATTCATAATGGTTACCATCTTTCAAAATTTTTCTCTTTAGTCAATTTTCTAAGAATTCTAAACCCAAAGAGGGTTCATAGCCCCATGACTCATTTTTTTGAGATTATCTTTTTCCTGATTACAAATGTAGTAACATCTTTCACTTAATCTGTCAAAAACTGCAAGATGCATTATTTCTAATCTTTATTACAGCAATATTTGCAATTAGTTTTTCAGCTTCTGCCTACAATATAGAAAGCTGGAAAGAGCATATCACTCCCATCCTAACAGCAAGAGAAATCTGGGTAATCTAAAAATTATAATCTTCACTGACCATATCAGAAACTACTAATAAGATTGTAGGGCAACCAAGTAGCCTGACATCTAATGAAAAACCAGTACTTCCAAGAAGAGATGGAACAGAAGCACTGGCTCACTTGGGGCAGAACGCAGAGAAAGACTCACGTAAGTAGGTAAGAAGAACTCAGCTCCATTTTTTTTTTTTTTTTTTTTAATTTC